CGCCCCCAGCCCTCGGAGGCGATCCCTATAAAAGGTGGAACCCAAAGAGCTCGAGGCAGTTCGACACGAAGCTGACCAGTGAAGATCCAAGACTCGGAGATTAGGCCCTGGGACTCCCCGGTCTCGCCGTCCTTATAAGGGCCGAGCCGGGTAAGCCAGTGGCGCGGCCCAAGAGCTTCCAGACCGCTGCCCTTATCAGGGCAAGGCTGGTTAGCTGGTGCCGAGATCTGTGCTTGCCAGGGCCAGATCAGTCAGCCTCCCATAGCCCAGTAGAGGAGGACTGGGGGACAGGACAGAGGGCTTAGTACTAGGGTGGGTTTCCCATAGTACGGGTGAAGGGGCCGATACCCCTTCAACTATTGTATCTGTCCCGGAGTTAATAAACAGTGTGTCTCAACTTCCTCATCGTCTCCTCATCAACTTACTACACCTGTATGATAAATGGGTTACACCTGGATGATTAATTGGTTACACCTGTCACAGCACACTCGCTGTATCAAGTAAATCATTTGCTTGATACAGTGAGCGTGCTGTGACAGTGCCACCTGAAGACGGAGGCTTGTGTTGCCTCCGAAACGTCGTGATTTTTATTTTATTTTTATTTTTACCTACGTGACTTTAACGAAAAAACCCAAGAATATGAATCCTTGCAGTCACGAAAGCTTCAAATCTAGAATGGTTACACCTGGATGATAATGATTGACTCTGCCGGCCTCAGCCCACAACCAATGGGGAGTCGAGCCAGGGGCGTGGCCCTGATGCAATGCGAAGGTTACACCTGGAAGAGGATGATTGGCTCTACTGGCTTCAGCCCGCAACCAATGGGGAGTCGAGTTAGGGGCGTGGCCCTGGGGCCGTAGAGTGGGCTCTGGAAGGTTCCAGGGATGTGGCACGTGGTCAGAGCTTGGAGGAACGAAGGTGGGAGCCACGCTGGTGCGGAGGTCCGGAGCCTGCCACGTGGCGGGCCGCAGTAGTCTCTCTCTCTCCCTCTCACGCTGTCTGCCAACAGCGTGAAGGAGCCATAGAGCAGGGGAACGAGTATAGTGACAGCTGTGAAAGAAACTTAATAAAGAATACTGAATTCCAGACGTTGTCTCCACGACCTTTATTACAAAAGCATTGTCAGAGTAACGTTTTGACCAATATAGAATTGTCAAACAGGATTGGTTTGATGACCACGATCTTCCTTCGTCGATCGTGTCGCTCCTATGCCCCCCTGCCCCCACCCCACCCCATTTGATCTACTTTGAAATGTTTTTTAATAATGGCAAATTAATAATCGGGGCGCCACGGTGGCGAGATGTTAACTACCCCACCTGGTATACAGGGGGTCGTGGGTTAGATCCTGACTGACGCCCGTATGTTTGGAGTTTGCAATGTTCTCCTTCTACCCATAGTCGCATTGACTTTCTCCGAGTCCTCCGGGTTTTCCCTCCACGTTTAGAAACATGCGTTTAGAGTGTTTGGCTGCTATACATTTACACGTGATAAGCCTCTTCGTTGAGCTATCATTTGCATGTCTCTCTCTCCGTGGTCGCGTGGATTTTTCTCCGAGTCGTCCGGTTTATCCCTCCACATTTAGAATCACACATTCACTCTGACAGACGGAGACCCCCACTGCAACAGCTCCGAGTCTCCCACGCATCTCCCTTTTATATGGACTGAGGCTACGCCCCCATTCCTGAACCTTCTCGCTGGTTCTTGATGCGAGCTCTACCAGCAGACTCTACCATCCTCTTCCGTCACATGGCTACGCTCCTATTCTCGATCATTCCCGTAGCCACCAGTCCACTCGTACTGCAAGCTGACTCCTCTGCATTACCTCCCGTGGCCACTAGTCCATTAGCACTGTAGGTTGACTCCCCTGTCATTCAAGAAAGCTGTCTCTGGTGTGGATCAATCAGTTTGAAGGATAATACATATGTTATCAAAGTATGGTTATTTTTTGAATTCTGACCACGAGCATTGTGGTTAATGCAGACATGATTCCTTGTAAAAGGTTTCAGTTTGGTGTTTTAACATCTAAACACCTGTTTTGTTGCCAGAAAAAAATAGGAAAAACATATTATCATATTTTGGTACTGGCAAAGGAGAACCCATGATCTTGACACCTGTTTTATTGCCAGAAAAGGTAAAACCGATTGTTATATCCCCTGTCATTACCTCCCGTGGCCACTAGTTCACTCACACCGCAGGCTGACCCCCCTGTCATTACCTCCCGTGGCCACTAGTCCATTCGCACTGTAGGCTGACTCCCCTGTCATTACCTCCCGTAGGTACTAGTCCACTCACACCGCAGATTGACTCTACTGCCATTACCTCCCGTGGCCACTAGTCCACTCACACCGCAGGTTGACTGTACTGCCATTACAATTTAATGCCAAGTCGCTTCTGAAAAAGAGCAACATAGTTCAGTCGGCCTTACCTAGTAAAATAAAAAATAGTTTAGTTTTTAATTTAGTTTTTAGATTGTGAAAGCTGGACAAATATACAGACCCTACAAAGCAATCTAGAATACGTAACAAAAATGTGGTTTATAAGAAGTATGTGAAAACATGTCATGTACAGAAAAGACGAGTCAAATAATTATATTACGGATAGCAGCAACCGCTGGGGAAGGGAGCTGAGGGGAGGAGCCCCGCTCTATCCACTGCTGGCCTAGACTATCTCTAGTACACAATGCCTATTGCATGCGCTATCCACTGCTAGCCTAGGCTCCATCTCTAAAGCTTTTGCTCTGTCATGGCTCAGATTCCATCTCTATAGGATGCTCTATCCACTGCTGACCTAGACTCTTGTGCCCCGCCCACTCCGTTCTAACACTTGGGCTACGCCCACTTTTAAACCTTTATAAACAGTTGCATTCGAGGCTTACCCCCCTTTTCTCTCCGCCTGATGACGACCGCTTGTGTTGCGATTTAAACGTCGTAGTTTTTTGTTCATTTTATTTTTCTTAATTTGAACCTATCCACGTGACTTTGCCGAAAGACCCAAAGAATATGAATTCCTGTAGTCACGAAAGCTTTAAGCCAAGACTGAATACAACGCTTTGACTGGGAAGAGGATGACAGCGAATTAACTTGCAAAAGCGAATTGAACAATATGGATGCAACTTGGGAGGAGTATCCGGTGCAACGTCCTTGGGTAAACAACATGGACAGAGCTGAGTGGAAGAAGGAATGCGACGGCAGTGTCGAGTGAGAGATCATTTCGAAGAGTGGAGTGGGCGGCTGAATCTTCAACAGAGAGGGCGGGGGTCTGCCCCTCCCCTCGCTCTCTCCCTCTGGAGCTGATTTAAATCATTATTCCACCGATGAGTGATCAAGGAACGTATGATGCACGCGTGCGCCGATGATTAAGCGCTGCATGGGGGAAAGACACGGTGGTGATGAAACACTATCATCGTCATCATCGATCATCAGGCATGATCAATCCACTGCTGGATGAAGGTCTCTCACTGTTCTGCGATGTTAATATTCCAAGCGGCGGACACCAGCTGCACGCGAGCTGACTTCATCATCGCTCCGTCGCCCAACAGACCTCGACGAATTCTGGGACGCGTTCCGTCCGTCGTTATCTTTTTGGCCAAGCGCCTGATGTCATCTCCTCTCGCCGTCACGTGTCCTGCCCAAGCTCTTACTTTAGCTACTGGTTAGAATGTACGTCTTTGCAGTAGCCCTTAATACGATCCATCACATAATACGGTACCGTACAAGCATAATTATAATGTCCGGGACTTTGTTATTCCACCACTAGATGAAGGGCATATGAGCCACTGTCTGTCGGTTGCGGCAATTGGTATAGCCATACTTCACCACGCTGGTCGGTGCGGGTCACTAGTCAATGATGTTCACGGTGAATAGGAATCGAACTCAGGAGGCAGCGTTCATTGTCGGGTTGGCGTGTTTCGAAATGAAATTGACAATAATTACATAAAATAAAATACAAATTTTATAGACTGGGTGGCTCAAACAGTCAGGAAACATCAGGTTATGTTCATTCATTCATTATAGCACTGGAATTTAACCATTTTTATTCTGTGTATGTTGAACTTATTTCACACTGTACGGAGCCAACAGTTGTAATCGGAGGTGCGGGAGAAGGACAGCAAACGAAACACAAAAAGCAGTTCAAAAATAAGTACATTTTTATATTTACATTAAAAAGTGCATAGCTCTGGTGGATTCCTAAGTGCTGCCCTTCGACTGCCCTGGGACTCGTTAGTGCTGCTCTGGTACTGCCCTGGGTCTCGTTAGTGCTGCCCTTGGACTGCCCTTGGACTGCCCTGGGACTCGTTAGTGCTGCTCTTAGACTGCCCTGGGTCTCGTTAGTGCTGCCCTTGGACTGCCCTGTGACCTGTCTGGTTGCTCACCGTCCCATGTACCCGGTAGCCGCATTGGCCCCGGGCCGTCCTGCAGCGTTGCTCTCTGAGCTCCCCGCTCAATCGTATCCCCCCAGCACCACCCCCATGACTTCATCTTCTCTGTTGCTCCTCACTGCCCCAGCAGACAGTCTCGTGGCTGTCCGTCAACTGCCCTGACAGCTTCGCGGCTGTCCGCCGATCACACTTGCGTTGGGCACATCCACAGAGCGGGCTGTGGTCACGTTGGCTCCAGCTGTAGTAGATAGAGATTCACTGTGCACGGACCCTGGCCTAGGTGCAGAAACCTGTTGAGCAGTGGGTCCACGAAGACCGCAGTGGCAGCTCGCATCCAGGAAGACGAACGATAATTGTTGTGTTCAGCGACGATGAAGTGGTTCTTGATGTCGGACTCATGAGAGTGGCGGCTGAGAGAGAAGAACTTCTGAGAGGATAGCCCACGCGGCAGAGACAGTGTGACGACTGTGGATTTGATCGTGACCGTCGTGGGACTGAGTGAGAAGGAGACGCCCAGCCATGATCAATCCAGCATTGGATTGATCATGGCTGCTGCTGACGATGTTGTTGTTGTTAGAGGTGATGTGAATGTGCAATACAACGACTCCGAAGACTTCAATACGAATTCAAAGAGTTTATTTAACAAAATAAATATGGCTTTCAACATACAAAATATATTAAACATAAAAAATGGCATCTTTGTGCAACGTAGAACAAAGTCAATTTACGTGATGATTCGTGAGCTTTTGTAAGAATTTAACCAATGTAACCCAATGCCTGTGGACACCACAGTACAGCAATGGTTGGCAACCTCTACGGTAGCCACTCGTACAGAGAGGATAGATCAAAGCTCGCCAAGTACCACGATCATAACCATTGCTTAACAACAAATGTACATTTAAACAACAATTGGAGAATGACTGGCTGGACAAGTAACACGTTATTTCTATGGGTGGATGAGATTGATACATGAGGAACGGTTACATTATTTTTGTCATCTGTTATATTTTCTATTATTGAGCCTGAGCAAAATTAAGCTGTTAAAATTACCGAATGTTAAGTAGAGAAAAAATATGTAAAATGAGCAATGTTAATAATTGAAATGTAGAATGTACAGCCCTTTGTGACCATGATTCACCATGCTAGCCAATGCTTTTTGCTAATGGGGTGGATGGGGAGCGGTGGTGAGGCGGTTAGCGCGCTGCGCTACGAGTTCAATTCGCGCTTACAGCCAACACCGGTGACGTTTATATTCAACGGATCCTGGGCCTCCCATAGGTCGACTCAGCCTCCAATGGGTACCTGGTGCGGTGTGTAAACATCGTCACTGGGGAGACAAAGGCGGTTAGACGTGGTGCTGGTAACCCACCCCTAAGCGTACTGTTCCGGCCTTCATGGATGTTCACTAACAACACTTGCCAACAACAGTCTGTTAAGGCTGTACGGGGAATTTTTGTCTTTGGAGACGAAGCCCAGCACCAGCTCAGATATCGCTCGCATTTGAAGTCCCAAAATCGAACTCAATTTTCTGGGTCAAAAGCCCCTGAGAGTGGTAACGCTATCAACCACACCGCCACCCCGCCCCAAGCATGGTTACAGATTGTTAGACGTGACACAAGACTAGAGACTGGTTGGTACTTGTGTTACATATATGTAATAACCACAAAGGCGACAGTACAATGAACTGGAGGTAATATGGAGAGTGGTTAAAGTAAAACTATTTACACAATCTACAGCCTTGCGATAACCGCTCGCGAGAGTTGGAATTAAACAGGGGTTGGAAAATATATGAACAGCACGGCCCATCGGACAAGTCCAAGGGTGAAAGCCAACAGCCGCAGCGGTCGCATTCAAGGACCGTCCGTGCCCTTCTTATTCGGCTGAATATATTTGGTGAATATCTGAAAATAACCTTCTGGGATGTCAGTTTAATGCTGCCGGATAACGTGGCCCACAGCTCATTTCCCTAAGTAGCACACACCGAGCAGAGCTCTGCAGAGCTCTACTCGTCTGGCATTGAGAAACGTTTCGGAAAACCCCAGTTGCAGATCAGTCTGTAATTTTTTTGTCCAATGCCATTGTCGTAGAGCATGTTGTTAGACGCGAATGTTGAGAGCCAGCCACCTGACGTCCCCGAGCTCATCATCTTCCCGATCTTGAAAAGAGCGAGGATTCAATGCACTGACATCACACGTCTTTGTTTGACCAGGTTTTGAGTAGCCCAGCCATCATTGCTGGCAGTGGTGCACTGTGATATTTTGTGTTGTTGTGAGGCATGGAGAAGCTGCGGTTTATCCCTTTGTCACCGGTTCATTGCTTCAGCAGGGCTGGGTTGCACATTGTCCTTGCCTGTAATCCCCAACCGTTGTCCGATGCTACCTTTGCATAACAAAATTCAGTTGAGTCTCTTTGTGCTCGACAATAGCAACACGGATGATAGTGCACTCGTTAACGCATGAGAATGTTTTTTAAGTTGTAAAAGTTTGTTTAGTTTTTGGATGACCTGATTTCATTCGACACCATGTACACATCCAAAGACGTATATTTATCTCCGATTCTCAGCGATTTTGGGTGTGACAAAGCTACAGATAATTTACAATTTGCTTTGAGTTCAAAAAGCCCAAAAATCAAGGCCACTGTGGTGCGCTGGTCAACACCACATTTGGGTGCTATAACAGTGGAGAGGTATCGTGGGTCCTGGTAACTGTCAGACTGAACCACTAAGCTGGCACTTTGCTCCATGGTTTTGTTGCATATGAGTGTGAGGCGAGCGTGCACGTTGTATATTCCATCAAGGGGAACGGTGACTTTACGCATGTCATCTTCACACTTCATGCCTCCCAGGAGGAAGGATTCTCCGTGTATTGTAGAAGTGCAGTTCCACTGGGTTGTATTTGTGCCTAGTAAACACAAAATCCAGCGTTAGTATGCATGCACACATTTACATGTCAATCCACTGCTGGTTGATGGCCTCCTCGTGCCGTGTGGGTCATGGGTTTATTAATAGCCTCTCACCAAATCACCCATTAATGTGCTCAAACTTGGACGAAATCCCAGAGGTTAAAAAGAGAAGCTTGGCCAGTGCTTAGATGGGCGACCACCATGAATGCAAGGTACAGTCCTGGGCAGCTGCGTGGCTGGTGGGAGCCAGATGGTAGTGCAGCAAAATACACACTGCAATGCTATATGCCTCACGTCAATGCTGTCTGCAATGACCAATATGCACTGTGATCAGCATGGCAAGGTATGGCCAAATAAAATAATTTTCAATAAAGAGAACAAATCTAAATTCAGAATAGCCAGTCACACCTTTTTTTGCATTGTTTCATAACCCCGAATGAGTCCATGCCTTCTATTGAATAGTACACATCGCATGGACGCTTCACGGTTGTTTCCTGAAACAAGTTGCGTTTAAAACTGACGGGTGACGTCACGCAGCATTCCACTCACCTTGAGTGAAAGGCAGCCCTGTAACTGTCAGGTGAGCGCTTGGAAACGGTGATCGAATTGAAATCGCCTCTATTGTGTTCATTATCCATTCTGAAAAAACAAACAAATCATCATTAGTGACAAGCAAATGTCGAGAGAGAACACATTGAGCTGCTGAAAGCGATAATAAATTCACCGAAGCCAGTGGAAACGTATTCATATATCTAGATGGAGGTGTGAGTCTGGGTGTACCTCATTTGTTGCGAGCGGTAGTGTAGCGGTTAGCGCGCTGCGCTATAAAACCACCGACCCAAGTTCGATTTCCGCTCACGTCCAGCACCAGTGACGAGTATCTGAACCGGTCCTGGGCCTCCCCTAGATCTACTCAGCCTCAAATGAGTACTTAGTGTAGTGTCTAAACATTGCCACTAGAGAGACAAAGGCGGCCGGGCGTAATGTTGGCCGGCTTTTACAGGTGCTTGCTAACAACACTTTACCCCTACTGTCTGTTAAGGTTGTACAGGGATCTGTGTCTTTGTGCCTCATTTTGCATAGTTATCTTTTTTCTTTTTACAAATTCAAGCCGTGCTTACCGAATTTCTGTGCAAGTAGTTCATGCTTCTGCTGCAAAACGAAAAGAAAAACAAACGCCAGATATTAATGAATATTATCAACCTAAATATCATACACATATAAATAGAACACATTTTACCATTTCATTAATGATCACCAGCCACACGTTTCACATTTAAGACCAGACAAATTATTTCACCACACCGCAATAGCTCAATGTCTAGAAGCGTAATTTCCCGTTAACAAAACCTTCATCGCGCAGTGTGTCTATGTAAACGTGATTTGTAAACGTTATCGTTACACAATTGCGGTGTGCTATATGCATTACGAACGTGTGCGTGGTTTAGAGTTCCTAAATTTAGCGGGGTTTGTCTCTAAGCACGACGAAAAATACGTCACGGGATTGAAATCACGTCAAATAAATCCCCAGGGGGCTTTCTTGTTCGCCGTTTATAATGATCAAACCTCATTCTTTATTTATTTTAACCAGGGAAGCCCCAGAGGCGCGTTTTCATGGAGGATGTTACCGTTACATTGTTGTTGATTAATTGTATGTGCCTTGCTATTGCGTGTGATTTGACCGAGTCGAGATTGGTATGCGGCAGTTTGAACAAATTCAAATATTACTGAGACCATTGTTATCTGTTGCTGGCTTCTTAGGGAAGAGGTATTTTCCCACATTTTGTTTTTACATTTCGAAAGAAGAGTGGTGTTTACTTTAAGTTTCAGTAACATTTAAAAAAATCATGAAAAATTCACATTAACTTAATTTGACTTGATATACTAGAGTATGATCACTTAATCACCGTGAATTAAAATTTCACGTACAATAGGGCATACACCCTAAATATACACTTTAAAATACACAAACGTTGTTTGGAGCCGGATGAGTGGAGTTTTAGGGTGTGGGCCTTGGTCACATTATCTCAACGGCTCAATATGATTGGCCCCAAGACATTCAGCTGCTGTCTTCGCGTGAGCCAATTCTATGTCTGTCACACTCGACACACCTCGAAGACGATCAAAGTGGCCACCAGATCCCGACATCTTTGTGAAGGGCCGTGGGCTGTGCCCCATAACACATTTCCGCGTGCTTCCTATCGGCATCAGACCTACTGCCTCGACGCCCAAGTCATGTTTGTCTTTTGCCTTCCTTTGTTTCACTCCCATCACCACCACAAGGGTGCACATTTACCCACTGCACGGCCGGCCTCAGTTGTGGACAAGCGACCTCTTTACCGCCTCTACAATTCTCTCTGTGGGCTGCCAGCTGTTCCTCGTTGTACATTAAAGTTCACCATTGGTTCAGTGACTCCGATGTGGTCACCAATTTGCAACAATACATTCAACTCATTTGCTGTCGTTATTCAGTCGCTGTGACATTAACGACAAAGGTGCATCCCTGCGATTGCCTGCTCACGCCGCTGATGGCGGAAGGGCCTCCACTAGGAGAGCTCCTTCTGGAGGGGTCATTTTGCGCAATCTTCCATGCTGCCCAGACGTCTTGAGAAACTGATTTTGGTGTTTGACTCCATCGCCCAAGGCCGGCCGATTAACTAACCGTGGCGTGCCCATTTATACTGGTGAGTAGAGAGAAAGGTAGAGTGGGGAGGATTTCAAAAAATGCTCTATTGTGTCAACTGCTGCTCCAGAAAGTCGAATAGGTGACCTCTGGATTGAGTGCTAACCATTGCACAGCATGCTAACCATTGCACCACGACAGCATTACAATAATTTTGTGACAGAGACTAAACTCCGATACAACAAGGCTATCATCTTCTTGGTTCTTTCGGTAAAGTCACGTAGAAGGAAAATAATAAAATAAAATAAAAAAATATTATGTTTAATTTTTATTATTTTATTACTTCCCTTCTACGTGGCTTTACCGAAAGAACCAAGAAGATGAATCCCTGCAGTCACGAATGCTTTAAATCGAAACAAGACTATCGTGGACAATGGTGTGTCGAGGCCAGCAATAGCACACGTTTTCTGATTCCCATGAACGACTAATCGCATTTGGCCATTCAAATGTTACTATTCTTCTCATCATATGGAAATATTGGGGATACCTGTTGCTTGGCAATGCAGCATATAGCACAGAAACGAATTGTGTGGCCCGATGAGACGTTGCCAATAGTCTGTCTTGTGGGTTATTCGAGAAAGGGGCACTTGATAACGTCTCCGAAGTGACCTGCGGTGTTTTCTACGACATAAGTGGAGATGATTCTTACCGCCTCAGGCTTTTGCGTGGCCCCATCTTCAATGTTCAAGTCCCCGATCAACTGCGAAACGACAAGAGAAAAAAAACATTAATCACAGACCTCGTGTGAATTAATCAGTCTATGCAACACAACGCGTTATACCCCAGTACGCACGGAGACGTTTGGTCAACGTGGGTTCAACGGTTGTCACCACCGGCCAAAGTTGATCCAACGTACAGCAAGTTCCTTCGTTTCTCATCCTCGTACTAAAACCAGCAAAGGGGAAATCACAACCGTGCAGTGGTTTCACGCTCATTCGAGATCGTCAGCACAATACAGTGCAAGTCTTTCTCATCCATATTGTGCATGGCCTAAGGTTGCCAACCATCCCGGATTGGCCGGGAAGTCTCTACCAGAGGTAATTGTTTTCCATTATTTATTTTTCCTGGAGAAATCCGATGAGCTGTGAAGCTTATGTTTCACATATGTCCAGTAGGTGCGGGTCAGACAGTTACAATAAAAATACAAAAAAGCCGATAGGAGTGCAAAGTGTAGAAACGGTAATCAAATCACTAAAACTATATGTACTTGAACTAAACTATTTTTATTTTACTGGGCAAAGCCCATTGAGCTCTAGAGTTATTTTTCAGAAGCGACCTGGTCACAAATGATTGCTCAACGAAGTGGCTTATCACGTGGAAATTTATAGCAGCCAAATACTCTAAACGCGTGTTTATAAATGTGGAGGGTAAAACCAGAGGACCCGAGAAAATATCCATGCGGCTACGGGTAGAGAGAACATTTCAAACTCCAAATATAAAGCAGGTGTCAGGGTCGGGATCGAACCCACGACCTCCTGCATACCAGGCGAGGTAGTTCACATTCCGATCTCCCAGTGACTGTTGAAAGTAAATGTGGGAGATTTTAATCGAAGATATTTTAAGAACATTAATTAACATAATGAATGCACACGAGCCATACAGATGTGAATTCATTGTAAAAAATATAACGGTGTTATCCAATTGCGTTACTCATTTAACCTCGGCCAGCCTAACGTAATGACGTCATACGTCATGTAAACCTGAAGTGCCTGTACCATGACGATTAATGACATGACGTCATTTTGAAGAAAACTAAAATACATAAATAAATCTCATTAGAAGCTTCAGTGAAGAGTTGTCAACCCCCAGCTTGGACTGCGCCTTTTATGTTGCTCAGGGGGGCCCCCTAAGTGGGGGGCAGCGGCCGTGTCACGGCGCAATGGCCGAGGAGCGTGCACAGGACACTACGGGGTGGTCCAGATGTCTCGTGACCCCCGCCGCCCCCCCCACCCCCCAATTAATTGACCCCAGGATCTCGCCATAAGATTCATATATGTACACAAAACGGCAAACATCCCCCGTGTAGCCTTTACAGACTGTTGGGGCAAGTGCTGTTAGCGAGTAGCACCTATGAATTCCGGCACGGCGCCACACGAGGGGGAGGGTGGCCAGCACCACGCCCGGCCGCCTTTGTCTCTTCCCAGAGGCGATGTTTACACACCGCACCAGGTACTCATTTGAGGCTGAGTCGACTAGGGGGAAACCCAGGACCTGTTCAGATAATCGTCGTGAACGGGAATCGAACTCGGGTCGCTGGGTTCGTAGCGCAGCGCGCAAATCTGCACATGAGACCCACAGGCGATTGTGGGATTCCAAAGATGATCGTAATACGGGATGTTAGTATGGATTGCTATGGTGCCGAGAGCCCATGTACCTCACACAATTGCGTTGTTCACTCCACTCGAAGTGGCTGTGAATGTCCCAAAGACACATTTTACATTGGCTGATACAGACAAGCGGGATTCAGCTTTTATGCCACATGGGTAATGATGACCTTGCAGCAAAGAGACCGATAACATACCAATAGAGTTACATTGCAAAGCAATATTAATTACTGGATTTGAAACTGGCCATACGCTTCTGATTGCTCCCACCATCCCCTGGCGAGCTGCAGAGTAAACCTCGCACCTGCACCGTCACAGGATTAGACCCCACTTGGGGAGTGCTTTATCTGTTCAGTTCCCTCCCAATTCCCCATCTTTGCTACTCCACTCAACAACAATTTGCACCACTCTCAGTGTCACTTATAAAACGAAGTAACAGCAAGGAAAAGCCAGCTCACCATACAATCATGCAACTATTTTAAACGAACTTCATAGCACATTTGGCAATCAGAATCGGAAGGTTACGAGTTTGCAATGCCAGTCAGCGGTCGACTCAGCTTGAAATATTGAGCATTATTTTATGAAAAATAAAACAGTGCTGTCCTTGGGAATGTGGAATTTATACCGTCGCTCCTGGAACACCGAGAGATGAGCGGTGCCACGCGGTGTTCGTTTAAGCCAGCGTCGGCAACCTGCGGCTGGAGAGCCGCACGCAATTGTTTTACGAACTGCTTCGTGACAGTTATTTAGTAAGGACCGCCATTTTGTATTCACCACAGTGCATTGCGCCTCTTGAAACAATGATTCTTATTCTTGGTTCTTTCGGTAAAGTCACGTAGAAGGGAAATAATAAAATAATAATAATATAAAACAATAAAAATCATCACGACGTTTCGACTGCAACACAAGCAATCATCAGGTGTGAAATTCACAGCAGTCGAAACGTCGTGAGAATTTTTATTGTTTTATGTTTTTATTATTTTATTATTTCCCTTCTACGTGACTTTACCGAAAGAACCAAGAATATGAATCCCTGCAGTCACGAAAGCTTTAAATCAAAATATTGATTTTTTTTTACCGAATTCGCAAAAAATTGTCTCATTGTTATTTTGGTTGTCGACCCCCCTGGTTTAAACAGAAAGCCACTTTGACTTCACTTTGGATATGTTTTAAAATGTTGTTATTTCCCTGTGTGTGTGTTTATAGTTCACCGCAAAATTCGCCATCGAGCGTCAACATTAGCAATAAAGCGTTAAAAAAACTTTCGCTGTTAAAACATCCCCACGTGCAAGCCTGCAAGGTGGTCAGCAGGTGGCAGTGCAGAAAGTTAGTTCATAAACCCATCATTGTGGACTTGTAATGCCCTCATACGTGTGGGGTTTTTTTACTCTTCATATTCTGGTTTCCGCCCACATAAAGCAATACTCGAATTTTAAAAAATGCCAAAACATCCCAATGCCGGACCCTCGTGAAAAAAATTATCAAGAGACTCGTTGAGACTTTCCTACATGAATTAAATACTTTTCGCCACCAATATTATCCATAATAGAGGGTTTTTGGGTCAGATCGCGTAAATATGAATGTGTCCTTTAAACCCGCCACCACCCGACACAGCCAATTAGTAAGATTTGCCACGTGAACAAAATGTTCCACTTCGTTACCAGTACAGCACACCGCTCGTGTGTTGGAGAGTCAACGAATTGGCATGTTTTGTTTACGTAACAACGCTTACTAATTCTCTTTGTCGGGCGGTGGCGAATTTAACGATACATTGATATTTACGCGATCTAACACAAAACAACACTATTATGAAATACTTTTTAAAGTCAAGGTGCCTCCCTGATCAGACGAGTGTTGGTTGGTGGGCATCTTCATTGGCAACCTTCATCTACTGGTGCAAGTTCCACGTTATCGACCACTGATGGCTTCCCAAACACTGCTAATGGACATTTAATCGGCTTCCTGAGAGCTGATCATGCAGAGTCAACCATCCCACACGGTGGTTCAACTACAACATAAATAGCAACTAAACTGTCAAAGCACAGAAATAAAACGTGTCATTACAATACCACTCTCCTACTTGTGTACTTGTTCATTCGGTGTTTATATATACTGGACACCTGTCAAAAAGAGCTTTACAGCTCATCGAATGCCTTCAGTATATAAATACATATTCTGATTCTGATATCTAACAAGAAGCTCATCAACTTCGGCAAAAGACGCGTCAACCATAGTGTAAAGCAAATCGCTCACGGAGGACACATTTTATTAATATGCACACTCACTTAACATCGCTACGCAGAAGTGTAAGCGGCACTTGTAAAGCCTTTGATCTCACCAATCGGTCATCTCAAAACTGCCACCGCCTTCGCTATCCTTCATCTCAACACCCAACCCTCCTCACACACTCGCATCGACACGCAGCCCTCTCGACACCTTTCATCTCAACTGTCGTCCATCACCGGGCCCGCTCACCTTTCCCTTGTACAACTTGAAGGCGAGTGGGACGAGAGTAATGAACGCCAGAACCACCAGCGTGACCAGGAGCAACAAGGTGAGACACTGGAAGAGAGTGCAGCCTCTCCACCACCTCGTGACCCAGCTCCATCGCGTCTCGTCCTTCTCCGGCGGCAAGGGCAGCGAGTTCACGTAGACGGGCTCGCCTCTGGTCTTCACCACCTGCATGCCGCCGCTGCCACATTTCCCACCGTAGCCAGTGCCGCTGTTGCCGTGGGTCCCCACGTGGCCGTGCCCGTGGGTGCCCGTGTGGCCGTGCCCGTGGGTCCCGGTGTGGCCGTGGGTGCCCGTGTGGCCGTGGGTCCCGGTGTGGCCGTGGGTGCCCGTGTGGCCGTGGCCGTGGGTCCCGGTGTGGCCGTGGCCGTGGGTCCCGGTGTGGCAGTGTCCATGGGTCCCCGCGTGGCCGTTCTGTCCGTGCGAGTTGAAGTGTGGGACTTGCGGCCTCATGTTGATGAAGATCTCTTGAACCGCCTTTCTCTGCGCTGACAGTCTCGGAGTCCTTTTGCGGTAGCTGTGAACGTGTCCTCCTGATACGCGTCTATGTATGCGCAGGCCTATATCTCTAAGCGTCGGTCGGCTGCCAATGCCCTCACACACCGTTGGCTATTTGTACGTAACTGCCGTGAATAGTTGTGATGCCCTCTTGGTCTATCAGCAACAATACTTTGCGGGTGTAATTTTTTCGAAATCATCCGCCGGAGCCGCCGTCCTCGCAGCTCGCAGCACGCTGCCTTCCTCGTCCGTCTACACCGCCGACAAAATTGAAGAAAGAATGAATGAACCTCAAACGATAAAAAATAAACCTCTCCCACGTTTCACGCAATCGACTGCGTGCGAGTTGACGGGCAGTCGCAGAAGAACATTTGACTCAGTGGTAACCCCCTCCCCAACCAAGTCGCCTACGCGCCCTATCTCGCTGAAAGCTCGCCAATGGCTCTCCCCTTGCCCTGCTGGAGCCGCCTATTTATTAACGCCCGCAACACGCGTTTTGAACGCGTTGCAACCGCAGCCTTTTTTCCACCGATGACGTCAAAGTTTCCGTCTTTTGCCTCGTAAGTTCGCGTTAGATTAACAACAAAACGTACCCTCCCTCCCCCCAACACCACTCCGCCACCACCTCCCCCACCCTTTGCGCCCCATGTGCTTTGTCAGGCACGGGGCTGGACGCGTGTTGGCGCAGGTGCCCCTCGGGGTGCAGCTGCGTGACCAGTTCCGAGGAAAGGAATCCGGAGAAAAGCCACATGAAGCTGGGAAAATGGCTTTTGCATAGCGCGTGGGGAAAAGCGAGCAGGGGTGGCACAGGTGGAGGAGAGGTGGAGGTTGAACCACCACCTCCACCCCTAACCACCACTCACCTCGGCACCGGAAACTCCAATACACAGGACAGCAACGACGTATTAACATCTGATGTATGTGTGTGTGAGAGAGAGAGAAAGTGCATGGGAGCATATCGTGTGCCGTGCCGGCCTTCATAGGTGCTCGCTAACGGCACTTTGCTCCTTAGAACCTGTTGAGGCAATAGGGGAATATTTGTCTTTATTGCTTGATTATAATCGTCATCGAATGAGGAGCGGTCGTGTAGTGGTTATCGCATTGCGCTACGAACCCTGCCCTGCGCCCTCCTCAACGTCGATTCAGCCTCAAATTGGGGCCTGGTGCGGTGTATAAATATCAGCACTTGGGAGACAAAAGCGGCCGGGCGTGGTTCTGGCCACCCCCCCCCCCCCCGCCCCTCGATCTGCCGTGACAGCTTTCATAGGTATTCGCCAACATCACTGGTCCCAATATCCTGTCTGTTAGAGCAACAACTGGGGATCTTTGTTGTTGTCTGTATATAATCGTTATCGTCGGTCATGATCTATCCACTGCTGAGTGAAAGCCTCCCACAATCCGTTGCAATCTCCCGCGGTTGTACGCTGTAACAATCCATCCACCCAACCACTCAGCACCCTCCTGCACACGAGTTGGTTTAATTGCTCCATCTCTCTCACGCGTTTTCATTATTGCTGGGCTTGCTGCTCCGTCACTGCTCTTCACCATCGTCCCTTCAAGCGACGGTTTTCCTAGCGAAATCCACTTTTGTTAACACTCAATGCGATGTCTCAAACCTGCGCGTGGTCTCCAACCCACGCGTTCGTCTCTCTGCCTCTCAGCGCAATTCTAAGCGTGCCCGCCCCCCCTCTATCCACGCATCTTTGCGCACTTTTCAGATTTCTCGTTGTACTTCTATGCCCATACCTCTACGTGAATACTTCCCCGTCCATCTTCACCAGCAGTGGTTTGATAACACGCGCCCGACATGTATAAACCTGACCCCGCCATACGAACGGGGAATTTCCACGGGCCGCCTACGCTCATGAGCGTAGGCGGCCCGTTTAAACTATGATTCTCACGGTGATATCAACTGCGTAGGTTTTTCGCGGTTGTGCTGCCAAAGCGCAGCTCTCTGATTCTGTGGGGTTTTTTTGGAGGTGGGGCGGCGGGGGCGTTGTGGCGCTTCTGTGTTGCGCTCGCCGCGATGTCAGAAGTTTCGTGCCACGTGCTGTGGCGGAGCCGCTGTCTTCTTGCACTTCCTTCACTTCGCGATTTGATTTTTGGGAAGCACGTGCGGGCGAAGTGGGGTCAGCTGCAGCCTCTCCTCCGCCCGTGGCTTTTACGAACACGTCCACAAATAGGATGCGTGGCGACAGCGCTCGGCGACACGAAGTCGGAAGGTCGCGAGTTCAAAAATCCCAGTCGGCGATCGACTTTCATCTTCCATCATCATCAGCAGCAGCGGTCTTCCGGTGTCATAAATCGTGTACCACTTTATGAATCGTTAACAGTCGGCTATCATCCCACGGGTAATAAATACACCCGCCATAGCAATGTACAATTTCCACCAATGGCTAAGCTTCCCCTGTACGCTCTTCTGTACAAAGGACCGCATCAACGTTGCTTCAGTAATTAGGTTATACTGGACTCGTTTGTTTGTTCATGCTGATGATGCTGCTGCTGCTGCATTGGCAGTGATGCACAAGCACAATTAACACAAAACAAAAACTTAACACATTTGTCAATGACACTAGCGGCCTGGCAAAATAATATGAACAAATAATGGGCGATTTTTTTTTGGCTTGACCTTTTTTCACAGCACATACACACAGTATCAGGCCGTGGTTTGAACAGATTCAACACAGCCACTCGGAACATTCGACTTCACCAACGCGGGCTGTCGGCTGTAAAAAAAAACGTTGAAGACTCGGTGATAATTTTGCTCTTTCCTTCCGATATTTGGAAGCCACTGGAGCCATGGCACTTTTAAATCATCATCTAGATTGAAAACTAATTTCTCGAAAACTGCTTTTTGTGTTCAGTTTGTTGTCCTTCCCCCGCGCACCTCCAATTCGCGCGGGTGGCTACGTACGGTGCGAAAGAAGTTATACATATAAGCGTTAAAATAACCAGCAGCCCCTTTACACGTGGGTAACTTAGCCCAGTGAAAGTCTGCAACATGATAATATCAGTTGTCCAACATAATAGTCATTGTTTCTGCATGTACGTGTAAAAACCCTTTTATCAGTCCATTGTTGGACGAGGGCCTCCCCATGCCGTGCTGGTGGTGGAGGTTGTTTGTCCATACTTCAGCACTCTGGTCAGCGCGAGTTGAAGACCGTGAACATAGAAGTACGGTACAAGAATGTATTTTTCTCTACTGCCCTCTGCTGCTCACAACTCCACAGCAATCTGTACACGGACAATAATCGCAATATACAAAAACATACGATTTGTTTACCCAGAAAATCCTCACTAATTCTCCATTTTATTTTACAGAAGGCTCTTTGCATTAGGACTTTTGGCCCAGCTCCATTAATCGGCGTTTGGAAATTGCGTTTTCTTTATAGTCCGTGCCGTAAGTGATACTGGATCGCTCGGTTTCATAAAGGATATGGCTAGTGTCGATAGGTAAGCTCGTGCGGTCGAGCCGCGTGCTTTTATTTTGTCATATCGCGGTTGTATTTGAGATATATTCAGGGCACTAGGCCACATGCGAATTCAAGGCACCGCATACAGCCCTTGAGTATAACTTTTGTTTATTTATTGCAGATAACAAATGGTTACGCAATGATATTGCAAGAAATCCCAGGCCTGTTAATCGTGTTTTATGACTACCGGACGCAACTTTCTCTTTTATAAACCGATAACTTGCACTTATCAAGAATTTGGTAACATATATGCATATATATTGTACACGTGATTAATTGAAATGTGTGACTGTCTGGAATTCAGATTTCACAACGTAGATAATAATTAGTTTTATAAATGTGGCGTCATTCATGCAAATTGCATCTCAAATCGTTGAACATTTTGACCCACCACACAAACATCTTTAAATCCAAATGAAATGAACATCATTAAAAAAGTGTACAAGTACACCACAGATTAACAAAACAAAACACGGCTGGGACCATGGAGGAGAACGAAACATGGACTATTAGGACCTACACTAACCTAGACACTTTATTTTATATTTCACCAGGTAAGGCCCTCTGAGCTGTAAAGCTATTTATCAGAAGCGACCAGGCCACAAATGATAGCTCAACGAAATGGCTTATCACGTGTAAATGTATAGCAGCCAAATACTCAAAACGCGTGATGTTGATTCTAAATGTTGAGGGAAAGACCAGAGGACCCGGAGAAAAAACCATCATGGGCATAGGAGAAGAAGAAAAAGTCCTAGAATACAATTTTTTTTCCACAAAATAACACCTTTTTCATTCACACATACAAATATATATATGAAATGCAATTATATATAACATTGTTATATTTACGTAGTGCAAATGTGATATATCCTGCGGCATTCGTGAATGTGGGGCAGCATAGCGTCTCTATGCGTGTTGGACTTTTTTCGCACCGTACGTAGCCAATCGGAGGTGCGGGTGAAGGACAACGAACTAAGCACGAAAAGCAGTACTAAAGAAATTGCTTTTCAATCTAGATTCCAAAGGTGCAAAGCGCCCGGTGGCTTCCTAACATCGAAAGGAAGAGCGGTGCAGACGTCCGCGGAAGCGCGGCTGAAAGCGCGCGATGCGGTGACCGTCAACCCTGGGTTGGTGGGAATCAAACTCGAGTGGGTGCAGGACCCAAACCGCGGCTACTCCCTCTGCCCTTCATCTGCCGCCGTAATTTCCACTGCCTGACTGACGTCCCATTCACACCCAACGCGTTTCTTTCTCTCTCTCTCGAGGAGGAGGAGGCGAAAGCGCACGGGTGTGTAGGCGTATGGGGTTGGTTGACCGCTGCCATTTCTCCCCCCCCCGCCCCCCCGCGATATTTGACGCAGCGTTCACGCTACAAAGGCAAAGATCCCCCGTATAGCCTTAACAGACTGTTGGGGCAAGTGCTGTTAGCGAGTAACACCTATAAAGGCCGGCACGGCACACGAGGGGGTGGATGGCCAACAC